AAAAATTTTTTATTATAAACAATCCAGAAACTTTATCACATATTGTATAAATCATGTCCACACAAGCTTCTACTTCTACAACAAGTGAGGAAAAATCCACTCCCACACAATCAGCTGTAGTTCGAAAGTATAATACGAATGAACTTATTGGATTTTTGCGTGAGCAAGAGGACCTGAAGCTTAATGATTCTCATTTTGAAATACTTGCAAATGAAGAGATCACTGGCCGTGATTTTCTCCAGATGACCAAACAAGAATTTAAGGAAGCTGGTTTAAAGATGGGACCTGCGTCAAGACTAGCAGACTTTGCCAAGAAGTCAAAGAGAAAAAATTGAAGCCATACTCATCATATAGAACTCTGAAAGATTTTGAAAAGGTTCTGGAGAAATTTGGAATTTGATGGTAAAGACATAAGAAAGATCCCAGAATTCAAACCAGGCAAGTTTCCTATTGTTTTTTTTTTTGTTTTTTTTGGAAGGGCTAACCTACATCCGGAAAATATAAAAAAATTTTACACATGTCAATTGTAAGTTTAATAATAAAAAAATGTAAAACTTATGTCAGCACTGTAAGATTTATGCAAGTTTACGCTAAATTAATTTCCTGATGTATATATACTTTATAGAAATGGAAAGAATTGAAGACAATGATGAAGATTTACAATATTGCATGACTGATAAAAAACGTAAAATGGGCAACTTAGGCTCAGAAACAGGCAGTAATGAAGCCTTGTGTTGTGAGTACATTTCTACAATACTACATGCAAGTCTCATTATTGCTAAAAGAATCACTAAAAAAAAAATCACTCTGAAACCTGAGTTTGAAGTCACTGGTGATGAAGCAACAGGTAGAGTTGACTATGCTATCAAAAAAGTCTTTGAAACCCTAGATGAAGAACTTATTTGCATTACTGAGGGAAATTAGAGTGATTTGACCAATGGATATATGCAAAATATTATGCAACTTGATAGCTTATACCACATTATTGCATACTCATGTGAATCACAAGATGAATAATCAATTTTTTTAATTTGTATTCACATTATAATGGTGATATATAATTTTTATTTCATGCAATAAGATAAGGTTTCTATATAATCGTGATTGATGTGGCAAAAAAAGTTTTTTTTTTTGACACAGTATACATGTTAAAAAATCACTAAAATGATTTCTTAATCAGTAAATGTAGTTATTGTATGCCAAAGAGTATTACAAAGTTTATGTAAAGAGTTTGTAACTACAAACAGACACATAAGTGCCAAAACTTCTATCCTCTGACTATTTAATATATTTCTCCATTCTAGTCTTCTTAGTAACTGGTGAATCATCTACAGTAACCCGGTCCCTCAACAAACCCACAATTACCCCCATAACCTTTTTTAAATTCTGGAGAAGTCCTCTATCATCCTTTAAAATATCTTCAGTGAGTGGAAGATGATAGTCTTCTTTCACACAGTAAATCTTTTCTGGTGTATACATGAT